ATTCTGCTTGTTGTATTGCATCCGTATTGTTGCTATTCGAGATGATTGCAAGCTGTCTATGTCGGAATCTATTGTATTGGTTATTTTTGCACATGTGATGTAACCTTATTGTGTTCGGTTCAATTACTGTCCTGTGACCGCCAGATATTCCTGTTGTTGAACTGATGATTACCCTGTGTTTTGTTATTGAATGCTCCTTCGCCTGTTGAAGGCCAGGGGCAGCACACTGAACAGGAGGCCACAGAGGATTAGGGCTGTGCCTAAGATAAGGGCGAATAAGAGTTATTGTTGATGTCAGTCTAGATCTGTAAATAATACGTGTGTGTGTCTGTCTATATATATAGATAGCTATATATTTCTATATATAGAGATTTCTCTATATATCTTTATCTATCTATATAGATATATATAGATAGATATCTCTGTCTATATATATCTATATCTATCTATCTGTATATGTATATGCATATATATTTAGAGAAATATTTGTATGTAAGTTTATGGTTATAACTTTTATGTTGTGTTGTATCATTAAACCTGTAAATAGTTAAGTATCACTGGGTGTTCTGGTCTTGGCTTTGGTTTTGCAGGGATAGGAGGTGAGCTGGCCTACAGCTAAACTGTCCAGCTCCTGCGGCATTCCCACACCTGCTGACATCCCTTCAGCTGAAGAGGGGGTATACTCCGTGTACCACCCAGGTTACACCTACAAGGCTAGCTCATTAATCTCCTTCAAATCCCTCCTTGAAACTGTCCTTTGCTATGATGCCTACAAAAAAAACCCTAACAATGGTTGGGCTGCTTGGGGGCTGAGATCAATGTCCCTACTGCCAACTAATATTGTTTCCTTATATTTCTCATTGATGTCCTCCTCTTGGTTCTTATCTTATATTCTGATGGCAAGCTCTTTGGGGCAAACGCTGTCTGGGTCTGTGCATGACAGAAACCCCAGGCAATATTGCCATGTAAATACTACTACTATTTCTACTACTACTACTACTATTACTACTACTAATGCAATTCATCTAAATGCAAGCCATGGTTTGAATGTCAAGTCTACTCATTGCTTTGGCTTTTGCAATACTAGACTAGCGCTCAATGCAAGTTTTCCCTCTACTCAGAGGCAGGAGGGTGACAATTCAATTGTGTGCTCCTCTTAACCCTCCCAAGTCATGTTCGAGTAAGATAGGGAGGAAGATTGCTCTTAGCATTGCTGTGTTTTCACTTGGGCTGCTTGGCCCCTCTCATGCACTAGGGGCTCCTGGCAGACATCATCTCCTCCTAACAGGCTGCCTGGGTGCCAACCCTCTACCCCATCCATTTCGGGAGCTTTCTGCAACTTCCCCCTGCTTGGGGCTCTGTGTACATCCCCACCATTCCCACCCTGATACCAGGATCCCTCTTCTTCTTAATATCTCCCAATGCAACAGAATTCCTCCCATTGATGCTTATGACATTTCCTGAAAAGTGGGGATTGATCAACCGCTGTCGTGTTACAGACAGACAGACAGATGGGGAAGTGCCTTCACGTTGAGTGTAAGCATTTCCAAACTGAGTTAACATTTGTTAACTGCACTAAATACAAAATAGTTTTGTAGTACAACCTGGTCTTTTCCAGTTTCCCCCACCATTCAGCCCATCTGCAGGTTTATTAAGACAGGCCTCAGAATGGTCCAGATCTGCTTTAGAAGAGACTTTCTGGATGCGTCTCTGCATTTTCTGTCATAATGAAGACATGGAGCACTGTTAAAATGATCTGTGCTTTCTCAGACAGCTAATGTTTTAATTTTAGTTGTGGAACACTTCATATAATTTCTTGTTCTGCTTGGTCATAGATTTTAGGCCAAAAGAGACCCTTAAATCCTCTGATGTGACCCCCTGTGCATCACAGACCATAGCATTTCATTCAGTTGCTCCAAGAATTGATTATATCTATATATCTATATGTATATCTCTATATCTGTTAGTGATAGATAGATAGATAGATAGATAGATATAGAATATATATTATTCTATAGAATAATAGAAAAATAGGTCTGAAAGGGACCTCCAGAGATCTAGCCTGAGGCATGATCATCCCTATCCAAACCATCCCACACACACACACAGCTAAAGTATATTATATGTGTGTGTGTGTGTATATGTGGATATTATATATACATGCCACCATATAACTCATATATGAGATGGTGTATTTGTACTGAAAATGATAATATCCCACTATACAAAGGGTCTGTCTCTGTGTCTTGAAATAGCTGCTTTCTTTCAACGTAGCATTACTTCCTTGTTAAGCTTTTATACTGTAGCTGGCTCCCATGTTTGCTTTTGGCTTTGTTGTTCTGCTGTTGTGGAGCCTATCTCTATATACAAGGATTGCTGTAGGAAGCAATAGTGTTTGCAATAGTTTAAAACTACCTCTCAGTTGGTAGGGGGTTGAACAGGATTTAGACCCAGAGGTGGTCACAATTGGCTGGGCAAGCCTTCAAGTTAGTAAAGAGCTCTGTGAAAAATATCCCTGTCGCCTATACCAGTTTATGGTTCAAGTTTGCAGATGGGACATAGGACTGGGAAGGACCATGTCAGTAATCTGGTCTAGTCCTGTGCAATTACAGGCAGAGGGAATAAAGGAAAGTCCAAAGGGATGCACAAGAACATCCATTCTGCCCCACCAAAACCCAGCACACCACAAGCCACAATCCCCACCCCTCAATGCTCCGTAACAAACTTATAATCTTTAGCACAAACAAATTTTAAGCCTCAAAAACCACAGTGTGCCACCAGAAAAGAGCAGGGGAGATCAAGGGTGCTACCATCAGAGGAAGATCAGAAGTGAACACCTCTGAATGCAACCTTTATTGTCACAGGGTATTTAACTTAAACGGATCCCCAAATCCTTTACTAACTTCACTGAGTTGTACAAACCGCACGTGTTTTCCTCCTACTGCATAATTATCTGTTCTTCATGTACCTAGGATGAAATATGGCAATAGCTGAAATGTTTATGGTAACACTAACAACTGGGACCAGTTTAATGAGACATTTTGGGTATGCAGGATGTATGTACCTACGTTCCAAATTTGGGAGGATATTGAAACCAAAGCCTTTATTTTGGCATAAGTACCAGGGGGTTTTTAATGGTGAATTTACTTTTCATTGGGGAGATGTTTACTTCAGGGTCCAATACAATGACATATTCTCAGAGGAAAGAGTGACATCTAAGTATCACTTCCTTCATTGCGTGGGACTGTCCTTCAACGTTTCCCATCCAATTAAGCTGTTCCAAAACGTATAAGTGGTAGAAATCTGACAAGAACATGGTTTTTGAGTATTTGATAGTAACAGGGCTGGTTTTATACAAGGATACAGACCAAATATTTTTGTCCAGAATAGGTGAGCGGGGAAATTTGACATGGGGTATTTTTAGTATTAGGTGAAGACAAAACTATGAGTCATGCCATAGTACGCTAAACTAAGAATTTCCTTTCTCTTGTAGGTGTGTGTCATCAGATTTTACATGGCCCTGACACTAAGTTTATAACTTGGATGCAGAATAGAATCTGTTTTCCAAGTACAAGTCAGACATCAAGGGATGGGGAGGGAAGCTGGCAGTCCTAAAACCCGAGGCAGAAACCATGGGAGAAGATAATGCAGCAGAGATGCAGTGAGGAAAGCCTTTCTCAAGGGGCAGCAAGAACTCAAGGCTGGGTCAAAATCCAGAGATCCCTTCAAAGCTACCTAAAAAGCTCATCCCACCCAGAAGTCTGATGCCCTCTCTGTGATATTATCAACTTCTGAGCATGGTCTCCTACAACGAAACCTGACAATGGATGAAGAGAAAGAACTGGTACCATCTACTGGACTGACATGGTAATAAGCTTGCTTCAGACTCCAACCCTTTTTGCTTAAATAGTTTGCATAGAAGAAAAAAAGGGAGCTTTGTAGAAAGTCTGTTTTGTCTTTGCTCCCCACCTCATTCCCCGCAACAAATTGTTTTGGCTTGGGCTTTATGAATAGAATACTCTTTGTGTCTTATCCAGCATTGTAAGTGGCAGTGGGATGTGAGAAATGAAGTTTTGGGGACAGATTCTCAGTTTGGGGGTGGTTACATCTGCGGTTTGGGTTTAGCATCATATATGGTAAAGACATAGACAGACAGACAGACAGATAGACAGAGTGTTACAAGAATCTCATAAGAACCAAGTTCCTTCCTCAAGGAGGTTATGGGTTATGGTCTAACTGAGACAAGCCCCGTGTATATGAACGAACCCAGCACAGGAATGAATGCAAACACAGAGCAGCCCTGGATGGGAAGTACTATGCCTGTACTCTGCTTCTTTGAGCATCACCACCCATGCTGTCTCTGACTCCAGTCCTCACCCAGGCAGCCAGGCTAGTGGCCAGTGACTATAAAAGTGATCTTAGGAAGGGATGTTGAAGAAGAGGTGGAAAGTATTTGATACAGAGGAGCTTGTTCAAGCAGGGAACTATGTGGGAAAGATGCAATGAAAGAATGTGAGAATTTGTTTTATTCGGTTCTTCTCGGTTTATTCTACCCTTCTTGCTATTGTGCAAAAGCCAAGGAGATCATACTTCTCCAAGGTGGCTGCTGAATTGACAAAGGCAGCAGCACAATGGTGTTGAATGTAATGTATGAGAAGCACGTTCCTCTAGCGCGTGCCATTCACAGTTTCAAACAGCCTTGACCACATTCTCACTCGAACACGTTCAGCTTCATCGCCAGAAGCAAAAGGCCAATCTGAGATGGAAAGTGATTGTGGGCGTGTGCATTCAAGTGCAAATCTTTGGAACGATCTTCCCTGGTTTTGTCTTTTCCTGGGATTTACAATGTCATCTCTTGTATCTCTGTTTGTCAGATATCACTGTCTGACAAACTTGTGCCCAGCTGATAGGGGGGTATTGAAAACTGAGAAGAACATGAGCCAACCTTAGCTGATAATAGCAAAGTTATGAATGCCAGCATTTTGGTTTTAAAAAGTAAATGTCTGTTGCTGTAGAGGGGTGTAGGTTGTAGCCGTGTTGCTCTGAGGACATAGTCAGACAAGGATCTTTGAGTTAATCTGATATCTTTTATTAGACCAACTTAGATACTGTGGGCATTGACAGACTTACGCTGACATTACAACAACAGTCACTGCTATAAAGTCCTTTGTCAGTGGTCTTTACAGAGAAGCTAGGGACTGAATAGGCATTATTCTCTAGTACTAACCATTTGTGTAATCTGATATAGGTTATAGCATTTTATAAAGGATAGAAGGGAGCAGATTGCCAGCTGTGATGGACTCACACTAGAAACAGATGATAAAAGACAGGACCGTAGTGACAAAATTGTATAGGTCATGATAGACCAAGGAGAATTCACTGGCACAGAGAATAAGGCAGGAAGGGTGCTGGGAAGAAGGAATTGTTGGAAGGGTGTGTAGGAGGGGAGGAAAAACGTGGACAACAAGAATGAAAAGATATTCCCTCAAAGTTTAGAGCTAGAAGGGGGAGAGGAGAGAGGTGAGGGAGAAAGTTCAACAAACCTTGCACAGAGGCAACAGACCGTAGCATCTGGGATGAGAAGGAGACCCTGTCATGTTGGTAGATCCAGGGCAGAGGAAGTCTACTGGAGTTATCGGTGGTAGGGAAAAGGGTGTTAGGAGAGAAAATAAGAGACCAGGGCAAAGCAAATCTCTTATCTCAAACTGGGGGTAGGTCCTGGAGAGTCCTGGTCTGTAGCATCTTCTGCCTGTCCAGTCTTGCGGGGCAGACAAAGCCGTAAGCATTTGCCTTCTACAACTAGGCATCCAGAGGATTGAAATAAGGTGCCTTGTTCTCCAGTGAGCTCACTGAGAATAACATGGATCTGGTGGGTAACATCTTGTATGGCATCCTGATGCCCCTAGTGATGTGCGCCCACACACACATAGAAGGAGAGCGTATTTTTAAATCCATCACAGAATTCAATGAAAATGCAAGAAGTTCATGCTTACCATGCTAACTACGGAGAGCTGGTGCCCTGCATCTGAAAGTAAGTTCTTTCACTCTGATTTTAATCCTGTCTCATCTTAAGTCATGTATCCATAAAATATATTTCTGCAAGATCAACCCTGAGTTTATAAACTTTCTGGGGCACGGACCATCTTTTTGTTC